TTGAAGTAAATGAATTGTTTTTAAAAACCTTAGTTTGCATTTTTTTATTGAAGTCTTAGTTGATTTACAAAATTGTGTTAGTTTCCAGTGTATAGCACAGTGATTCAGTTATTGCATTTTTAAAAGGAGCTTAACACACACACACAAACCTGTATTTGCACAAAAGATACTTGTAACACATAAAACAACAAATGTCAGTATCAGGGCTTGCCTCTGGGAAGGCACCTGGAGGAGGAAGAGCAGGAGGACGGGCAGGTCGGACTTCCCACTGCAACCCCCCTTCAGACAGCTTCAATTAATTTTCAAAAAAAATAAACTTTAAATAGTTCATGTAACTACTCCATTAGACCAAAAGAAAAATACAGTGTCTCTTGAAGCCTGAATTAGGAAATCACTTCTGTAATATTTTGAAAATTAAAAAACAAAAAGTGATGTCACAGAGCATCCTGCAAGTCAAGATGAACAATCTCTCCTTCTTGGCTCTTAAATTTAAAAAAACAAGAAGCAACTCCTCTCCAGCCCGATCTTGTCACAAAACACAGAATCACCCCCTAAGTGGTCGTGCACCACACCCATTGATATCCAGGTAACAGTTCAGAATGGAGCCAGGAAGACCCTCCTAGCGAAGCAACACCGGGGCCCAGCAGAGCCCGGAGACATCAGACAAATGCCGACCCCCGAATGCACAAATCTGCTACTGTGAATTTCCAACTGCCAGCACCGCAGACACTGGACATCTTCCACTTTCTCACCTACCTGGGTTTAAACACTCTTGTTACCTTTGCTAAGTACGAGTATGTCTTCAAAAGTGGTGCTTTAATTAACAGAAGGGTTTTTTTCCTTTCATCGCTTCCTTCACCTCAGATTAGGTTAGGCCCACAGAGAGAGCAGCACTGGGTGCCCCGCTTACCACCGGGATAGCGTGGGTGACCCCATCGCCGCTGTCAATGACGATTCCTGTTAACGTGCGTTCGCCAACTTGTCGCGATGTCCAGGACGCAGCTAAGGCCAGCACTGCCTGCACAAAAGCCACGGAGACCGTCAGCACAGGAAAGGCTCTCAAGTGTTCCGCCTGCTTGTCCTCAGGTTCGAGCAATAAGCCCTTTCTTTCTGAGTCTGAGTGACCCTTCCCTACCCTCCATCTTCCCCCCAAATTCAAATTCCAAAATGGACAACATGCAAATTTGGTGCACTTAATCTGGAGGAGTCAACTTCTCAGTAAGACAAATCAAAGCTTTGCAAAGAAAACCCAGTGAGGAAGGAATTTTATTGTGGAATCAGGTGGTTTTAATTCCTAACCCACTGGTTCCCGGTGTGGGTCCACAGACGGGTTGCAATAAGACTACTTGTGGAGAGTTTAAAAAGACAGAATACTGGGCCTGACACCCAGAAATTCTCATCTGGAAGGACCAGGACAGTGGTTCTCAACCAGGGGCAATTTTGCCCCCAAGGAGCATCTGGCAACATCTGGTGCCATTTCTGGCCATCACACTTGGGGGAGGGGAGACTGGTGGTGGTGCTTCCCCTGGCAGGTCAAGACCAGAGATGCCACTAGACATCCCACAACATACAGCTCAGTACCTGCCCCTCCCCCAAGGGACTGCCCGATCCAAAGTGCTGAGGCTGGAAACCCATGATCTGAGATGAAGTCTGAGAATGTGTACTTTGAAAACACACTTTCAAGGAGACCTTGCTGCACAGACCACTTTGAGAACCACTGGGCCAGCATTTCCTAAAGTGTCTCCTAGTCCATGGAACAGAAACAGCCTAGGGGAGGGCAAAGATTTCTGGTTAAATTTGGAAGTGGTGGAATAAACAGAGTTCTAATGCAGGCATTCTCAGAGCCTTTAAGATACTGCTATGTACCATGAATCACCACACAGAGGCCACAGCATGTAGTATCTTCCAAGTTAATTGTCTATGCAACTCTTCCTTCTCTTTTTTCTTACAAGGAAGGGGAACAGCATATAAAGAAAACATTTTGGGAAACAATTTTTTCATTTATTCCCCCAAATTTCAGTCAATTCCCTTATGCAGAGTGGCAGATACATTACATCTAAAACCAACAAAAACCCCCACAAAGAACAGGCAGCTTCAGAGGAAGTTCTGAGAGCTCACAGAACCACAGGGGCCCAGATCTGTGAGGGGCAGCCCCCAGAAGACATTTGTTTTGTTTTTTAACAGATTCTATAGTATCTTTTCTTCTTTATGATCAGAAGTAAAAGCAGCCAAAGAACCACACCCACGTCTCAATCTCGTCTCCCCGAGGACACCTGAGATTTTAATGCATGTAAACAGACAGAAGCTGGACAAACTACACCAGCAGCAGAAACATAAATCACAGACCTTGCTCTGTACACTGTTTGAGCTCAGACCTGAATGGGACGTGTTCGGGTGCACTTGAGCCCTTGAGGGCGTGGGGAAGGAAAACCACACCACACGGTCTTATAACAGAGGCCTCTAGAAGCACCATTTCTTCCACATTCGACAACTGAGGTCACTTGAGAATAATAAAAATCACTTTGTCCTTACCTGAACTGCAATGTAGAGTCCTGGTACATTAAATGATTCAAACATAATTTCTGCAAGATATTCTCTATTTTCTGGTGTATTCAGGGGAGGTTCTGTCTGTAAGAAAACATTCACTACATTCAGTGTTCACCCAAATTTCATGTAATTACACCAGAACCACAAAAAAAGTTAATCTAAAAGCATGTTCATTAAGATGCTGTACAACTCCCTAATAAGACAGAGCACACCCAGAGTGACTGATTAAAGGACATTTTGGCTGTGGGGTTTAAAAGCTTTGAGAGAGCAAAGCCTCTCTAAACACTTCTGCTCCTACTAATCCCCTCAAAGCAAGAACAAGTTACAGAGAAGGAGGCTCCACCTCGGCTAACAGGACACCCGACACCCTGGAACTGAGGAGACCTGCCGCGAGCTGCGCCCACCGAGACCAGATGACTGAGGACACGGAAAGGGAACACCAGTGGCTTCAGATCCCAGGCGATGCCCAGTTCTCCAAAGAAGAGCAAAAGCAGGGAGCCCTTGCTTGGCACCAGAGCAGCCTGAGCAGCGCAGCCGCGGGAGCCTCGCCCCCAGGCGGCAAGGGGAGCCGGCACGCCCCCGCCGTGAGCCGCGCCGGCGGCCTGCACTCGCGCCCGCGGCCAGTCCAGGCGCAGCGCCCCTCACACAGAGACGAGGAAGGAACACAGAGACCAGCCAAACACCACATAAAAACACTCAAAGAAACAGAGAGGGGAGAGGGAAACCAGGAAGAACAAATGGCGGATAAAAAACACGCACCCAGAAGAATATGTAAATAAAGCAGATGAAAATCATGACATAGATATTTGAGTTTTTTGAAATATCTATTGAAAATAGTAACTATTATCAAATGGAAGGAAATTAACAGGATTACAGAAAGATAGAAATAAATAACCTGCTTTTTGTCATTCAGCAGTATGTTGTGAACGTTTTTCCATGTCAATAAATATGGATTTACATCACATATTTAAGCTGTAAAAAAAAAGAAGAGAAAAAAACAAAGAAAGAAAAAAGAATAAATAAAAATTCTCTGGGCCTTTTTACAAAAAAATTCCACATTACCCTTTGTTATATACTGAGTTGTGTCTCCCAAAATTCTTACGCTGAAGCCCCAACTCCCAGGTGACTGCGTTTGTAGACGAAGACCCTAGGAGGGTAATCCAGGTTCAGTGAGGTCACAGGACAGCACTAACATCTCTGCAGGAAAAGGCAGAGGCACCAGGGAGCTCCCTCACTCACATACAGAGCAAGGGCCACACGAGGACCCGGTGAGAAGGAGGCCGTCTGTCCGCAAGCCAGGAAGAGCAGTCTCACCAGAAGCCGACCCTGGCAGCACCTGGATCTCGGACCTAAAGCCCCCAGAACCATGAGAAAACAAATGTCTGTGTTGAAGCCACTCAGCCTTGGTGTTTCGTTATGCTCAGGGAGCAGGGTAACATACCCTTAAAGCAGGAAAAAGACAGCGTGTCTCGGCCATCAGCACAGCTACACGCAGAACACTGGGACAACGGGGCCACACGTAGAGTCTTCTGGCAGGAAAATACGACCCAAGAATTCTACATCTGGCCACACTGCCAATCAAGTGTGTTGCAAAACAAAGTATCTTTAAATATACAACAACTTGAGAGAATTTGTTCCTATGGACCCTTCATGAATTAACCATCAGACAATAAGCTTTAGCCAAACAATAAGAATGCACAAAGTACAGCCAAAGACTTACAGTGAGCAATTAGTCCATTTAAGACGTAGGAATAAAGATTTTTCATTTCTGGGAAAATCTATAGCTATAGAACAGAATGCAAACATTATAAATTAAAACAGAAGAAACAGTATCAAGTTGAGAGGCACAGAGGGAAAGCAGGAAAATATAAAGACACTGATACCCTTGTGTCATGGAATCAAAAGATACTGTTTCATTGGTAGAGCAGCAGAGACATTAGTACTATTAGATATTTAAGTTATAAACGTAAATATCAGAGTAAGTTCACTAACATAAACAATCCAAAGCAGGTGACAGAAGGAGGGAGGAGGAGGTAAGAAACGTGGAAATGTACCACCTTGGTCACTAAGCACACTAGGAAGTAATCATCCCTAAACAAATACAGGCAAATATCTTATACAAAAGTATATTTACATTAAAACATGTTTTTAAAATACCAAGTATCAGAAAGAATATGCACTCAATAAAAACCAAAGAGAAAACTAAGCCTGAGTTTTAAAATATTCATACGTAAATAAATCACACTAAAACCAGAAAGCACAGCGCCCAGTAAAGCAGCTGGGGCCACACACACCCACCACACAGCCCAGGCCACGCTGGTACGGGCAACAGGAGAGCTCCAAGTCCGCTCTGCCCAGCCACACCCCGCCTTCGATTTTACCAAGTTGGAAAGTGATTTCCTCTCTCTGTGCGTAATTAGCACTGACCTCATAAGAGTCTAAACAAAGTGCTCAGGGCAGCACCCAGCACGGGGAACATACTCAGCGACAGCGCGCTGTCATTACTAAAATCACCAGAGCAAACCAGTGAGCAAACTCACCTACTGAAGAGAAAGCCTCTGAGCTAAGACCATGAGACAAATCACATCCCGTTGTCCAGGCAAGGGACATCTAAAACGGGTGCCTCGGAGAGGCGTGCAGTCAGCACAGCTTCCAAGACCAGAAACAACACAACTGCCCATCACCAGGAACTGATGACACAGATTAGGCCACATCCACAAAATGCAACACTCTGCAGCAATTAAAAAGGATGGCAGTGTGTCTGCAGGTATGAAACAATCTCTGCCACAAACTTGTTACATGAAAAGAGGCCTTTCCACACCTACACATTCTTCAATATTCTTCTGTATCATTTTCTTAAAAAAAAAAAAAAACAAGGTGTATGGGGGAGAGAAATGAAGAGCTGTTTATAGGCACAAAGTTTCAATTTTGCAAGATGGAAAAGTTCTAGAGGTCTGTTACACCACAACAAGAATGTAGGTAACATTACTGAATGATACATTTAAAAATGTGTTAAGAGGGTAAATTTCATACATTTTAAATTACAATTTCTAAAAATTTTAAAGTAAAAAACCAAAGTGCACAACAGTATGTCTATTTTGTTACCATTTTATGAAACAAGTTTATGTATAATCCATGTGCCTGCTCACAACTGTTGCTGGTTAAGTACCAGTAAAGGCGGTCTCCTCTGGGAAGGGGATCTGGAAGGCAACACAGAGGTGGGAAGGAGACACTCTTGCACTGGAAATCCTTCTGCACCTTTTGAATTCTGTGCTGTGTGTATGTTATCTCTTCAAGCAAATAATCAAATCTGGCTACTGACTAGCTGGGGGCTTTAGTTTATATTCCTGTCTAATGCAAAGCTCAAACGTAGTGCCCCAAGTAAGTTTTAATTACTGTAATTAGAATCAATACATTGCCTGAATGGGAGAGAGAAAGCAATCTTAAGACACAGGCAAGAAATAATACAGTCATCAAAAGCACACTGTAAATAAGGGATCTAAAAGCCACTTAACAACACATTACCTATCTTAATGTGCCCACCTCAAGGGGCTGAAATCCAATTAGTTAATACCTGAAAGTGCCCAGTAGATGGCAAGCACTGTGTTAGTGATTACCATTTCAGCTTTTTTTAGATTCCTTTCATTTAAAGCACATGAAGAGTAGCTGCAGATTCCAAGAGTTAGGTGACAATGTATCTCCTTAACCTACCTCCCATCAATCTGCGAAATAGGCCTAATAACTACCTACCTCACGGCTGTCTGTGGGGTTAAATAGTGAGCGAATTCATGCAAATACTTGGCGGGGAGAGGGTTGGGCACATAGCAAGTGCTGATGTATCAACAATCAACTATGATACCAACAACGTATCTCAGACCAGAAGAAATTACATGTGTTAACTCCAGAGACCTACAGTCTTTTCTTACCTTGAAGAGGAATCCAAGCACCTTAATAAGTTAATTTTATAAACATAACATTTAAACTGATTAGAGGAGGGGGAAAGGATGAAGAGAGGAAGGCTAGAAAGGTATGCAAAGTGGCAGCATAGCCAGGGAATGTTTCCTGCCTGCCTGGTTTGAAGCAAAAAGTGAGCCCACAGAAGACATTCCCAACAAGAAGTGGATGAGCCCTGGCTCTGGACTCTTCCTGGGCTTAATTTCAGTGTCAAGTGATGCTCCAAATAAATCCCAGATGGGTGAAAACTATATATGAACATCAAAGAAAAACAAGGTTTACTTACATAAAAATTTACAATTACAGATGTTCAAGAACATAACCTACCAAAAAATCAAGTAAGAAAAAAGTATCTGCTTCTGACAAAAACTTCTTCTCTGTTACATGAAAGAGTTCACACTATGAACAGATTGTAGTCATGCATACAACAGAATATTATTCAGCCCTTAAAAAGGAAGGAAATTCTGACACATGCTACAATGTGGCTGAACCTTGAAGACATTATACCAAGTGAAATAAGCCAGTCACAAAAGGACTAATACTGGATGATTCCACTTACATGAGGACCCAGGATAGTTACAGTCACAGAGACAGAGGGGGGATGGTGGGGGGGCTGGGGCTGGACGAGAGGGAAAGGGAGTTATTCTTTAGTGGGGACAGAGTTTCAGTTTGGAAGATGAAGAAGTTCCTGAGATGGATGGTGGTGATGGCTGCACAACAATGCCAATGTACACAACTCACCAAACTGTACATTCAGAAATGGTTAAAATGATAAATTTTATAATATGTACATTTTATCACAAAAGAAAAATTAAAGTAAAAAAAGTTCAAAGAAATCATAGCAATAATAAAAGTAATAAAACACTGATATGTACAAAACCCAGGACATGAATAGGCAATTCACAAAAGAGGAAATACAACTAATAAATACATGAAAAAATGTTCAAGGTCAAAGTTATTAAAAATGCAAATTAAAAAATCAAATAATCAAAAATGATGTTAATCAATGCTGACAAGACTTCAAATAATGTATCCTCATATACATTGAAGATTTTGGTGTGAAATGGTATGCCAGAGATTCAAAATTATTAATATACCTGGACCCCCAAATGATAAATATAATTATTATATTTTTAATATAAAATGCTCTAAATATAGAAAAAACTGCAAAGATTACTTTATGATATTTCTTACAAAATCAAGGAATTAGAAACAAAAGTAAATATCTAAAAATAGTGGGACTGCAAAACAGAGAGTAAACAGCCACTGGATACATGATTGTATGGCCATTAAAATGGGGATTATGAAAACAGTGCAAGAAAGTGAGGGGAGGGGCTGGAGGACACGATATTGGATGCAAAATCATGTAACAGCATGAGTGAAAAGGTTAAATGTTGCTATACTTAATGTTAATATTTACGTTAGTGGGATAGGAGTGTGGATAGGCCCACAGACATCTTCCAAATTTTCTAAATCACACTTAGAGTCCTTTAATAAGAAAAAGAGCTGTAGAACCCCTCGTTACAGCCTGTGTGCGAGGACCACAGAAACTCCCAGCACAACTTCCTGGTTTATTTCTCCACAGGCAGAGAAGCTAACAAGCAAGGTGGCAGCCTAGGGCAGGAACCGCGGCACATCCTGGTGTGGCTTTTCCCGGGCCTGTTGGCTCCATGACATGGACGACACTTTCCATATCCAACCACAGTTGTGAAGACAGCTGAATTCTTGTTCTGCCACTGGCTTCATACCGGTAGTCACATCATTATGGCAGGCACTGCAAGTTCCCTACCCAGTATCTATTCTGCCTTAATGACAGACCACTGATCAATCACAGGCCCAGAAAACAGCATTTCCCAGACTTCCTGATGGACAGGGATGGTTAAGTAAGTTCTGGCCCATAAGAAGCAAAAGTTGATGGATGTGTCTTTCCTAGAAAGGTTGAAGGTAGACTCATGTAGTAGACCTCCTTCTGCTCTTAACCCCTTCTTTCCTGGAATACAGAGGTGATGACTGGAGCTGCAGCAGCTAACCTGTGATCTAAGGCAATCTTAGAATGGAAGCCATATGCTAAAGATACCAGAGCATAGAGATCCCTAATGGCACCAGGAAGCTGACATACCAGCACTGCCCTCCCTACTACAAATGTCTTTAAGAAAAATAAAACCCTTAACTTGCTTAAACCACTGATTTTTACATTTTAGTACTTGCTGCCAAACAATTCACCATCTGTGAAAAATTTACATTAAAATCTATACACTTCCATTTAAGAGAATGTTTACAATAAAATTAGGTTCTCATGGTTCCTGAATCAAATTCAGCATTATTAATGGCATATTCTTACGGGTTCTCAGAACCATAATCATAAATCTATGTTTTCCTCAATCCTCCATTTCTTCTATGTTTACCACCAGTAATTGTTCCTTTAGAGGACTAATTTAAATAAAATCTTCCCAAACCATTATTTATATCTAACAAGCTCTAAATTGGAAATATCAAGTTTTTCTTATTTTTTTAAATATTGAAGCATACGATTAAAACTTTACATGAATGCAAGTTACATAAGCATTTTTATTCATAACAATTGTAAAACACCATCTAGTATTAATTCAAAAATGAATAAATTAATCAACACCATAAAGACCAATCCATATTTTTAGATAAAGACAGCAAACTGAACACACGCACTCAATACTGCTCCAGTCCCAAACCTCTCCATAACTGCAGTAAAGAAACATTTTAAAACATAAACCCTCGAGGAAGGGCCAGTAGGAGCGGAGTGACTATGCTGAAAACGGGAAGCACACGGGCCAGCAGTAACAGACCCAGCAGCGCCAAGGAAGCCCAGCTCCGCGCCCGCCAGCGCTAGCGCGCCGGGCGGAGCCGGTCTGAGCCGCCCACGCGAGCCAGGGAGTTGCTGCGGTAAGCCAGGACAGGCCACACGTCACGGCGAATTTGATGTGTCGGCTTGACGGGGCTAAGGGATGCCCAGCGAGCTGGTAACCCACTCTTCCTGGGGTGTCTGAGAGGGCGTCTCTGGAAGAGCTTAGCATGCAGTA